AATTTATGTAACAAAACTCTTTTATAACTTTGCTACTAGATGTCCAGTTACTTTATGAAACACATATAGCCATAAAGCGGAAGGGAAACAAAAGACAAAGTTATATTAGAGTAAGTGTGAGTTGAGTAAGTTTCGAAACAATTGGATAGGTACCTAATGTAAAAGAAAATAACTTAGTGGAAGAAATGGTAGTAGTTAATCATGTCTACCCCCAGCAGTAAAAGAAATACAAGTCTGATTAAACTCACTTTTATAGAGCTATACAAAGTTTATAAAATAAAAAAGAAACAGAATCAATACTTATATATTAGTTGTACCCTATTTAAAGGTCACTTATTTCAGAGACTGGACTGTTAAAACATTTATTAAATTTTGACTCTAAAATAAATTTTTTTATTACAATAACAATATATTGTTATTGTATTATAAAGACGAATTACAATATTTATTATTATTGTAGTGGGTCATTACAATATATATATATATATATAGAACACCATATATATATATATATATATATATATATATATATATATATATATATATATATATATATATATATATATATATATATATATATATATATATATATATATATATATATATATATATATATATACATATATATATATATATATATATATATATATATATATATATATATATATATATATATATATGTATATATATATATACATATATATATATATATACATATATATATATACATATATATATATATATATATATATGTATATATATATATATATACATATATATATATATACATATATATATATATATACATATATATATATATATATATACTATATATATATATATATATATATATATATATATATATATATATATATATATATATATATATATATATATATATATATAATAATAAGAAGAAGAAGAATAGTACTCTATACATAATCGTATTTGAATGGTATTCGTATGGCTGTATAAAAAATGAAGATATTGTTTTAAACAAAAGAAATTAGCAATTTTAACAGATCAAACCTACGGTTAGGACTATTGTTATTGTAAAAAATAAATACAATAACAATTACCATACAATAATATTGTATTGCAATACCAGAGATGCAATTAAAACATTATTTATGGTTACTGTATTGGTGCGAATAAAAACAGTTACAATAACTATTGTATTGCTTTTTTTTTTCTAACAATGCATTGAAATTCTAAAACTATTGTATTGTATTGTTGTGATGTAAAACAAAATACAATAACTATTGTATTGTACTGCTGGGATTAAAAAAATTACAATAAGTAAATTGATGTATTGTATTACTATTTCAAAGTCTAATAGCTATTGTATTTTATAGTATTTAGACTCTTTTTTCACGCATTTATTATTATTTGGGCACTAGATAATTTAGGGGTGCCCGTGACGCTCGTTTTCAGCAGTCATTTATATATATAAATTTTATTTATTTTCAGAAGTGAAGTGAAGCCAGTGAAGCCAAAGAAGTATGTATACTACGTATACTTAATCAATATTTGGTTCAGGGGCGCACGTGGCACCCATTTCTAGCAACCATTTACATATATAAATTTTATTTATTTTGAGTTCAATAATATAACTGTTTAAATAATAATTTATTTAAAATTAACATTAATAATATTCATTCAAAATCATAGAAATATATAATTTATCATATGCTAGTAATTAAATATTTATTTACTTTAAGAAGTTAAATTTTATAATTTTTTATAATTTTGTCTAAACTGATATTGAGATGTTTCATATGATGATGACGTCTAAACTAATTGATTAACAACATTAAGCGATATATCTAACCGCTAATGTGTAATCAATTACATCGTTATGGAATCAAAGAACTTTTGACCTGGGTAATTATCGGTTAGATTGTCACAAAAAACGTGAACTACTTTTGTTTTGTTAAAATTTTTTTTACATTTTCAGATTGTTCATCACGTATCAGACCGTTCCAGTAAATTTTGTGTGGATCATTTTTGAAAAATGAGGCAGTTTAGAACACCAAATAAATATTGTTCTTGATTTATGTAACAAAACTCTTTTATAACTTTGCAACTAGATGTCCAGTTACTTAATGAAACACATATAGCCATAAAGCGGAAGAGAAACAAAAGACAAAGTTATATTAGAGTAAGTGTGAGTTGAGTAAGTTTCGAAACAATTGGATAGGTACCTAATGTAAAAGCAAATAACTTAGTGGAAGAAATGGTAGTAGTTAATCATGTCTATCCCCAGCAGTAAAAGAAATACAAGTCATATTAAACTCACTTTTATAGAGCTATACGTATAGCTCTATAAAAGTATTTATATAAACTTTGTACAAAGTTTATAAAATAAAAAAGAAACAGAATCAATACTTATATATTAGTTGTACCCTATTTCTAGGTCACTTATCTCAGAGACTGAACTGTTAAAACATTGATTAAATTTTGACTCTAAAATAATTTTTTTTATTACAATAACAATATATTGTTATTCTATTATAAAGACGAATTACAATACAATATTTATTATTATTGTAGTGGGTCACTACAATACATTTTTTTTTTCAGATATTGTTATTGTTTTATAAAGATGAATTGCAATACAATATTTATTGTTATTGTATGACAGTATTACAATAGTTGTAAATCACAAGTATTGTTATTGTTTCTAAATTAAGTTAATACAATAACAATAGTTATTGTTACTGTTATTGTTTTCATTACAATTACAATAGTCCTAACCCTAATCAAACCGATATGTTGATCAATTAACGATTTTTGAACTCGTTTAAACAGTCTGAACTTTTTAACTGTTGAAAATTTTAATGATATTTATAAATATTGGGAATTCATTAATATAAAAGTGCTTATTAAATTTCTATAAAAGTGCTTATAAATTTCATTTAATAATATTATTAAGTTCTGAACAAAAAAAAGAGTTTTTAAAACAAATCTAAGTCATTTTTTTAAGAATCCTTTACAACTTGACAAAAGGAGGTAGAAGGCAAAACATCTTAACATCATTTGTAAAATTGAAAAAGATAAATAATAATTTAGAATCTTTTTATACTAAAGTGTAAAAAAGTCAACCAAACAATACAAAAAAATTTGAAAAAAACTAAAAAAAAACATCTATTAAACGAACTAAAGCTCATAAAGCGCTTCAATATTGTTAAAAAACATTAACAGTAATATTAGCAGATTATTCAAAATTTTTAAAAAAAGGAAAAAAAAAGAAAAATTTAAAAGACAACTATGATTCAAAAATAAACTTTTTTGTAGTTAATGTTTTCTATTTGTCTTGTATTGGCAATTAGATTTTGCTTTCAATTTCTTACTTTCTTTTAACATCTTTCAAAAGTAATAATCGATTATTTTTACACTGTGATGTGGTTTATTTTTGTTTTTTATCTTTTTTTAAATATTGAACGCTGTTCTTAATCTATCACACTATTTTTAGTGGTTTGAACCACTACTTTGATTTGACTTCTTCAACCATTCATTGTTGAATGATTTGATTTGACTTTTTTAACCATTCATTTTTCTCATTTGCCTAGATTTTGAGTCACTCCTAGAATCTCTCCTTTGATTTCTGATTAACACTTATTAAAAAATAAAAATACTTTTTTTTTTTACTTAAGAAACTAAAATGAATAAAATGTTTTGTTTCAGTTAAGGTCCTTTAAATTAGACGCTTTAAAACAAATTGCATAGGACTTTTGGCTCAGTTAGAATTTCTCAAGCCGACCCAGAATGTATTTAACAATAGTATTGCGATTGACAAGTGTAAACAACTTCAAACAACAAAACCGATGTCCTAATGCCAAAAATCTGATAATCATATAAAGAACAGTATGGCTTTATTATCTTTATAACTTGATAGTTAATATAAAAAGTTGATGTAAAATATGCATTCATTATTTTTATCAATTGAGTAAACACGCTTAATTTTTAAATAAATTAGACAAAATGTCGTCAATCGTTTGTTTATTTAAATTCATTGATTATATTATTTTATAAGTTATACTCTTTATAATTATTTATCACTGATAAGTTAATAAAAAACTCATTTTAAGATATGTATATACCCCTAAACACAAAGTTTGCATAGGGTAAAGACTGTTACGAAAAAATATTTCGTTAAACTTTTCAAGTTTTATTTTTGATATTTTATAAAAGTATTACTTTCAAAAATTTAAAATGCTTATTAAAACATTGCTAAAGTTCAAATAAAGTTAAAAGATAACTTTCATTTCCGGGTAATGAAGGTGCTTTTAGTAGACCTAACTAGTTTGTCTCAGAGCACCGTAGAAGTGCTTTTAAATAGGAGGTTCATACCACCTCCTTAACAGATATCGCTATTATGGTCAGCAATTATATATCGTTGAGAGTGCTCACTATATATATATATATATATATATATATATATATATATATATATATATATATATATATATATATATATATATATATATATATATATATATAAATACATACATACATGCATACATACATACATACATACATACATACATACATACATACATAAATACATACATACATACATAAATACATACATACATACATACATACATACATACATACATACATACATACATACATTATTAAAAACAGACTAAGATGTTTACTAGCTGCACAAAATTATAATTAACAATCAAGTCTTGATTTACGTTTGTATTGTGAGGTACAAAGCAATATCTTAATCTGCTTTTAAATAATAAACTTGTTTGAGAGATATTAAGCTTATCATCGACAATATTTTACATTTCTTTTATGTTGTATTGAACGAAAACAATGTTTCACCTATTTGACAAGAATTTTTTATTTATTGCATAAAAATAGCTTAAGTAAAATTGCATTTAAAAAGATTAACAAATTTCAAATTCACCAATAAAAAAATGGTTACTAAGGTTTTTTGATTGGTTTATATTTGAATGGTTGAGTTTTGATCTTATTTAGAAAACATGCATAAAAAGAAAACTTAGATATAAAATACGTGTCACTTTAAAAAGAAATATGACTTTTCTTGATTTCATACAGTCGAAACTAAAATCCCGATCCCGCTTACTAATTGAATACATTGATAAAAATAATGTGAAGAGTGCAGAGAGCATACTGATTAAAAAAATTGACATTAATGCAGATATATTAACTAGCTACGGAGTTTTAATAAATCCGCTATGTCATGCGGTAACTAACGGCAGCATAGAAATGGTACAACTATTGCTAAAATATGGTGCAAACGTAGGCCCATTTCTAGACAATAGGAAAAACCCTCTGCAATTGGCCATCATTCAAGATAATGCCCAACTCTTTGAAACATTACTAAAAGCAGATTTTAAACAACAAATTGATTTCAATTTGTTATTATTGTATGCAAGTGAACTTGGAAAAACAAACATTATTAATATTCTTGTTAAAAAGTGTTCCAACATTAATTTTTGCGATGCTAAGGGCGAAACAGCACTTTCTAAAGTTTTGGCAAGGGGATATTCAGATTGTGTTAAAATATTACTTGAACATGGTGCAACAACGAAAAATGATAAACAAAAAACTCTCAACAAAAATACACTTCAACTTTTTAATAATGATACAAGCAACAACCTGATCGCAAAAAATGAAATGGCTACAAGAACATCATTTGAAAATGCTGTTAATAAACACTTCAGTCTGATATTTGATTTAAACAAAGAACTAAACGTGAATAAACTTAAACAAAGAACTAAACGTGATAAACTTCAATATGAAGTTTCACTCAAGGAAAATGAACAAGCAATCAAAGTCAAAACACTGTTCTGCAAAGCACGTTCTGGTACTATATAAACTTCATTTATATTTTTGTAAAAAATTTATACAGCTAGATTTTATTACAGTGACGTGCAGTAAACCGTGAGTTATATATACAGTTATATATATATATATATATATATATATATATATATATATATATATATATATATATATATATATATATATAGTAAATTTATCTGTCGGAAAAAACTTTTATACAAATTTTTGACAGTGTTTAAATCGTGCCGAAACATGCTGTTAAAAAGCTATGAACAAAAAAGTTGCAAATATTACTTTAGACTATGTTCATGAAATTTTTAGGCTGTGGATAGAGTACCGAAAGTCTTTATAAAAAGTTAAGTAATTTTCCTATATGAAAACGACATTTGTTTTTTCACGTGACCTTTAACAACCAATAAACGCGCTAGAAAGTTACGACTTTCGGTACTCAATCCACGGCGAAATTTTTAGAAAGTAAAAGTTTTTGTAGTTACTTACAAAAATAAATATGTTTCTGTTGAACTTCTATATAATCTTTTTTCTATATTCATCGTTCAAATCAATCTCATTCGGATTGAATGGTACTAATAAGCTAATGTGTTGAAATAATGTGTAATGAGGAATGAAATAAAGTAGTATGACTATATTTAAGAATCTGTGGAATCACCTGAATTAAATTACAACATTGTTTTTGTTAAGTATTATCATTATTTTTTTTACTTCAAAATTACATCTATAAAATAATTGTAATTTAAATTTTTTTAACAACTATATTTAAGAAACAACTAAAGTTATATTTCAAAGTTTTCACTTTGATTTATGATTGAGTTAGATCTAAAAATAATATTCTAATTTTATAATTTTTTATTTTTTTAATTTTTTTATTTTTAGGTGCCCTAAAAAGTCCTTACAATCTTATCACAGAGCACCGCAGAAGTGCATTTGAAAAGAAGTTGAGCATCTCTTAAATAACTTATGTTTTGTTTGTTTTTTGTTGATCTTTAAAACATTTATACAAACCTTTAAAATTCCATTACTTCTACCAATTCCATTAAACAAGAGACCTTTTTCAATCAATTTAATAAAGTTATTCACAAAATTTACAAATGTTTTTTTTTTTTAAATGCTTTATTTTCTATCCTTTATATTCTATTCATAGATAAAAGTATTTTATTTTTTACTTCTATTTTCGAACTTTTATTTTTTATTTCTTGTTTCTGGGCGGTGTGTAAACCTTGCTTTCAAAGGTCACATACCGCCCAGAACCATCAGTAGCTATGGTAAAGCTTAGAGATTCTGCTTTGACTGCTGACAGTAAAAAAGTTTCTGCTTTTGGTGTGTAATTTGTTTAATCTATGTTACTTTTGGACACACATACAAAAAGTATTTATTATGCTATTAACTTGCATAATTGTAAAAAGAAAAAGTCAATGTATAATAGGACGTTTTATTATTAAACATGTAGTTATTTGATATTATGTTTTAATTAACCGCATTGTCTGTTCAAAATAACCATGAATAAAAAGTTTGTGAAAATACTTTTTTATAGCAGCCTAATGAATATTTACTAATTATTATTAAGCGTTATTGAACATGTGTTTTAGTTAGCATTTTAAGGCGATTTTAATGGGTGTAGGTATGACACCCACCCAAAAAAAGCTACTTTAACTTTATTTTCGGATTTTTAAGGAATATTATTGGCTATTAACACATTTCAGTCGAGAGATTTTTAATTTTGAGTATCTTTTTTTTTAAGATGTGGCTCCCCATGTCCTTCATTTTATTCCTAGAGTTAATAAGTAGTATTTAAAACGGTTTCAAAAAATTTTAATTTTTAGTCGCAAATTATCAAATTAAAAAAACGTTTCAAATTACCTCAGTCTTCCTTACTATTGATAAAGTTAAAATAATATTATACAATAAAAACTGCTTTTAGTATCGTGTTTAGTTGAGTATTTAATTTATAATTTTTCGGAGCAAGATGCTGCTGATTGCTGTTTACTCAACATTCCTACTTGCGTCAATACTTAGGCGATTAAGATAAAAAATTAGTTGCTTTATTGAAAATTCGACATTAATCTAGTAAGGACGTAATAGAGGAACGTTTAACACATTGTTTAAAAACAAAGTTATCCGCGCTATCAAATATTTTTAATAACAAAAACAAAACAATAGGTTTATTAGGTTAAACAATAAAAAGTTAAACAAATAATAAGTTAAACAGCTGTATGATTTTACGTTAATGACGGCTGTTGTAATAATAAAAAAAAATTGTTATAAAAAATATATTTTACTATTGTTTTAAAATATTCTATATATTCAATAACCCCTTATATAACTCCTGTATAAGTAACAAAAAGATATATAATCAATCAAGAGTTTTACTCAAAAAAAAAAATTACAGAAAAATGTCGCGCGACAAAAAATGTTTTTGATTTCCATTAAAAATGAGAAATATCTTCAAATTTTAATCAGTAAGAGATTAGTTTAATCTAATTATAGGGAGTAGGGATTCCAAACAATTTCTAGTTCCATCTATAAATGATCAATGAAATGACTTAGACTGTCGACGGGTAACTGGGTACCCACCCGTTGATTTCTGCCCGAGTAGCATTACCCAATAATGGGTAACCGTCATTTGATAAGTTTGAAATTTACTTTATTCATTTTTTAAGTTCAAAATCATTGTTCTTAATATAAAAACTTAACAATTATTAACTATGTGAAAGATCTTGAAAATCTTGTTGTTAAAAGTTTATAAAGTTACAATTTATTTATTACTTAAAAAAATGTTCTAAAAAAGAGAACATATTGTCCGGAAGTTATTTTGATAATATATTTATTTTATTTGGCTTTTGATTAAGTTATTTTGATAATATACTATTTTTATTTGACTTTCAGATTAAGAAACACACTTATTTTCTTATACTATTCTTCACACTGTGTACAATGTTTTCCCTTACTTGTATCAGAGCTTCTCAAGCTCTTTTAAAACCTGGAAGATGAAAAAATGAGCTTTAAAACTCATTCAAAAAAAGCCTTCACCAATTTGTAACAAATAAATGTTTTGTAAAAGCTAGTTGTTGTTATTTCTACTTTATACTTTACTTCTAAAAAAATTGCAATAAAAACATATTTAAAATTTAGATATTATAATATCTTATATTTTATTGGATAATATAGTGTAACGAGGGGCAAAATGAGACACTTAAGCGCTAATACATCTAATACGGCCCGTCTAACAACTTTTGAAAAATAAATTGATATTTTTCAATTCTTCTACGATCATACTTGAAGCCTAAAAAGTATGAATTGCAAAACTGCAGTAGTTTGGTCACCAGAGATCATTTATTGACAGCACCTATCCTGTCTCATTTTGTCCCGCATACCGGGGCAAAATGAGACAGATTTTTTTTTTAGTAATTTAAATAAATAAAGTTCAAAAAAAAACAGATCTTTGAGAGGATTAGCAAGTAATACATTTTATAATATATTACAGCTATAATCAAACTGTCACTAGTCACATAAATCACATAATGCTTAACCAGTATTTTGAAACAAACAACAGTCCGAATGAGCCCAGGTTGTGCATTTTGGAAATTGACTCCACTTATATATATATATATATATATATATATATATATATATATATATATATATATATATATATATATATATATATATATATATATATATATATATATATATATATATATATATATATATCCACTACAAGAACTAATAAAACCATACATATATTAAACTTATGTATTTAAAGCACGCATAACATTCATCGTATTTTGTTTATAGGTACTGCAATAACCTATGTTATAATCTACTCACTATATATAATATATACTATTTACTTTATTACATTACAATACAATAAGATTATAAAATACAAACATAGTAATTATAAACATCAGGCAATTATTTGCTTCAATTTGATTAAATATTTATTATATTTAAATATAAGTTAACAAAATATAAAACGTAATTCTATATTGGATAACAACTAAACATTTCAATTAACAAAATAAAAAGTAAGTAAATACAGTATAATAAATTTAAATCTACAGCATGTAAATATTAATATTTGCTTTGGTTGTTGTTTTAATGTAAAAAATTAAATAAACATAATATTAGATATCGGCAAAAAAAAATACCTTTAAAATAAAAAGCTTTATCCAAGAAAATTTTTTTGTCCTCAAAGTAATTTTTTTGTCCTCAAAACTTCCTCATTTGGCATAGGTATGAACATACTTAAGTTTGGAGTTTGCACAATGTGTGGAAGTGTCTTATCTGAAACATCAAAAAATGCTGGGTACGCTCCTGAAACACAACGCAATAACGTATTGCATTATGACAAATTTAACATCAAAAGTTTTTAAAACTGTTTTTCTCACTTCTTTTTTTATAATAAAATAATAAAACAAAATCGTTTCAATTCAATTAATTGAAAAATTCAATTTAAAAAATTTATCATTAAAAACTTTTTAAATGCATGAATTTTGACATTTTTCACTCGCGAGCGAATTATTTCAGCGTGGTGCAATTAAAAAAAAATTTTTTTCGTTTACGTTTTTCACTATCAACATTTCGCGATATCCCACAGTGAATCGCCACATACAATCTAGCTGGACAAAAGTTAAATCAAGGAATCAATTAGTAGATACTTTCATAATATTACTGAATACTCCCTAGAGAAAAATTGAAAATATTAATTAGCGTACGCGTTTTTAAGTGTTAAATCATTAGCGCTTAATAAGCTCGGACGAATTTTGAATTCGACTCAAAAAAATTCGACTAAATTCGGAATTCGAGGTCAATTTCGAATTCAAATTTTGTCAAATTTGAGATCTGAATTTGAATTCGATTTTTAATTTCGAATTCTAATTGGATACAAATTTGATAAAATTTGAAATTCAAATTTGAGTTTCGAATTTTATCAAATTTGGAATAGAATTAAAATAGAGTCTTAAAAACATTTTCTTAAGCAATTATAAAATAACTCCATGCGCTGCAACAAAATGAGCTTTGTAATAAAATTTTAAAACATTATTGACTGATTCTATTTTTGCGCGCAAAACTATGCTTTTATTGGGCGATACAGAAAAATTGAACACTTTCAAACGTAGATGTTACAATGAAAAATTTGTAATTTAATGAAAAGATTGCGTGATCAACTAAAAAATTTAACGCAACGACTTTTATACTCATTCAAATGAATTATGCGATTTTCTTTGTGCGTAAATAATGTCCAAGGGAATTGTAGTGTTGCAATCATTATTACATCTCCATAGAGAAAATCGTATATAGTTGTCCATCGGGAATTGTAAATGTTACAATCATTACATTATAAATAAAAGCACTTATAATTTTACTTAGTGAAAAGACGAGTTCAATTTTAAACTAAAATTAAGCTAAAATCAAGTCAACATGGTTAAAAAAACTCACCAATTATGGTGTTATTTTGCAAAAATCCAAGCTCTTAACGAAGAGCACAAGAGTAATCCCAAGGTAATTTGTCAGATCAAAGTGCACGCAGGGACAGGACCAATTTGTGGAAAGGTTCTGTCCACACCTAACTCAAATACTAGCTCCATGAGAACTCATATTAGGTCTTTACATCCGGAACAGGCGAGAGCAGTTATTTCATTCGAGGCAGCATGGTATCAAAAAAGACTAAATGATACTAAGAAGATAAATTTGATAAATTATACAACCAAGTGGAGAAAAGAACTTCTAACAAGGAAAAAGACCAATTTGACCACTCAGATTCAACTCTCTCTAATTCCGGAACTGATGTCGAAGCTTCACAAAGTAAGATCAAATTTTGACTAAAATTGATTTTAAAATAAAATAGCAATCTTTACCAAATTTTAGAACTTAAAATGAATTGGTTTTGATTTTCTATTGTTAATATAAATAGTTATTATTTAATATACCCATTTGGTGTCATTAAATTGTTTAAATTAGGTGTCGTTTACCCCAACAAAAGACAAACCAGAAAGAAACGTTTTCGGAAGTTGCCAATTGGTGGTAGGGCCTCACTTGTCACAACCACACCACCATATTTTCAGAGGATTGTCAAGCACAATGTCAGGTCACCTGTCTAGTTAAAATTTGATTTGGCTATGATGAAGTACTTAGCAGGCAGTAATCTTGCCTTCAACCATGTCAATGAGGCAGCATTTCGAAACTTTGTCAAATACTTGGATCCAAAGTTGCACGTAAAGTCCGCCAGAACAATGGTTAGAGCAAAACTTCCTTTTCTCAACCGATTGGTCAAGGAGGCAGTGGCGAACAAGATTGTAACAGATCTAAAAGACAATGCCGTTGGTGTAGCTTTCACAACTGATTCGTGGTCATCAAAGTAAGTCATTTGAAAAAATTAATAGTACGTTAATAATTGGATTCTGTTAATTTTTTTACAGGAGAGGGAAATAACATCTGGCGTTCACTAAGGGGCCCTAGGTAAAATCAATTTGTGGCGCCCTAAAACAGGTTTTGCAAAAGTTTTTTCGTCATAATCAAAAACTAATTTAAATTTTTTATTTTTCAGGGATTTTCATGGGCTCCATAGGAACTAAATTTTTGCAATATTCTTCTTCATTATTTTTTTCGTTCGTTCGATTAGGATTGAATTTAAACATAAAACTAAAACTTTTTATTCCATTTACATAAATTATTTTTGTTTTAAATAACTATTTACTTTTTTTTTAACTTATATAGATATGTTTCAATTTACTAAATATCCAAAGCAATGATAGTTTGTATATAAAAAGAGAAATGATAATTTCTTGAAATTCGTGGGGCCCAAGGCCGCGGCCTAGTTGAACTATAGGTAATTCTAGCCTTGTGATTAACATAGAATGAACTGATAGTAATAAAGTTTGATATAAAATAAAATTTATTTTCTTGTTTAGAAACTTCGATCCATTCCTTGGTTTGACACTTCACTATATCTCAAAGAACTGGACCCTAGAGAAGCTGCTGGTGTATTGTGGAAGTGCAGAGGGTTGACATACATCTCAAAACATTGCTGAACTTCTTGACAAGCCAATTAGTGAGATTGTAGGCCTTCCATCAAATGTCCACAAGACCTGCACAAGTAATAATGCAGCTAATATGCTAGCAGCCATCCCAAAACTGACAGAAGAAATTCAGGAGGGCCTTGGGTGTGTTGACCATATACTTAACCTTGTGGTGACTGAGTGTCTCGGCATCCCTGAAGTAAAGAATGCTGTTGATGCATTCAAGAAATTGTCATCCAGAACTCACAAAAGCAGCATTGCTCAACAGATGATTAAGAAAGAGTGTGCCAGGATAAACAATCAATCTAAGTATGATACAAACATTGAAACTGGTAATTCATTTCTTTAAACTTTCAAAGTTTTTCAATTTTAAGTTTGGATTGTACATTTATTATATGTATATACTTTATTATAATTATTACATATTATTTATTTATGTTTATATTTAGTTATTATATAAATATATATATTATAATAAATTTGGTTATAACGTGCCGGAATAAGACTTTTGTTGTTGGCCCGGAGCTATTTAAAAAAAGTGTCTCTTTTTATGGCAAAGTTGCACTCTATGAAATCTAAACAAGTTTCTTAAAAGCTCAGCTAAAAAGGTTTGGGTCCCTGAATGTGCAGGGTTTGGGGCTTTATTCCCCAGCCCCATAACCAATTTCTGATATTATTGTACATTGTATGGTATAAGAAAATTAAACTCACGGTTTAAAAGAAGTTGGTTTTGGTATAACCTAGTTTGACTAGTTTTAAACCAACATTTTACCAATAATTCTTTTAGTTGAATTTGTCCAAATCATTGTACCTGTTGAAACCCGCTGGAATTCCATCTTGATGATGATGCGATCCATTTTAAAAGTGAGGCCAGCTCTTGAGAGGATCAGAGAGGATTTCAGCAAGGGAACTGATCCCAAGATAAGAGAAAAAATCCCTACATCAGAGGAACTTGAACAGGTGAATAAGTTAGATTTTTTTCCGAATTATTAAAATTCGTTATTCCCGTTAATTCCGAATATTAAAAATAGTTCTTAAATTAATTTTCTTTTTTACTTTTTTTGAATAGTTTTTTTTGAGTATTTAGTTATTGAGTATCAGACATCCTATCTCAGGGGAGTAAGGATGACCTTACGGCATTAAAAGGGGACTCCACATTGAAATTGAGAGTCTTTTTTGTACCAAAATTTAGGACTCACTTATCTCCAAGGGCCTCAAAGTTATTAAATTGCTTAGGTCATTTTTAGGAGGAGTAGGGGGATGGTTTGTATAAACTTGTTAAATAATAATTGTCAAAATTGTTACAGTTTTCTATTTTCAGATTGTTGCCATCATTGGTCCACTCACCAAGATCGAAGAGATGTCTTTATTCTTTTCTTCTGACCAAAAACCAACCATCTGCTATGTGGTGTCAAAACTTTTTAATATCGATGGTTGTCTAAATTCTCAACTCAACAAACCAACAATCAGCGAGGAGACCAAAGTGTTCAGTCAAAGTTGGAAAAGAGATTCCCGGCTTGTGGGACCAAAAACAAGCTCTATGCTTATGGAGCAATTCTCCACCCATTTTACAAAGGACTCACACTTGCCCAACATGAAAGTTCAAATTATAGGGAATTGATTGAGCTGATGATAAAGGAGAATGAAGTTGAGCTAGTACATGACTTGAATCACGGAATTTTTGAGGAAGTTGATGAGGAAGACTACAGCATTGAAGCTAAGATTAGGTAATTGGTATTCAAATTTAAAATTCGAACAGTTTCAGGTTAAAAAATTTTTTTTTAATAACTTTTTTTTTATAGAGCTAAAATGAGGTCTTCTCAGCCAAGCCAGCATACCCGGTCACTGCTTGAGGCAGCCATTAGCCCCATGCAGTTGGAAATGAACAGGTACCTCAACTTAACAAATCCTCCTCCAGCCGATGTTGATGTACTACAATGGTGGAGAAGGCATCATCGGGAGTATCCTCTTATTGCCAAGTGTGCCAGAAAATACCTTTGTGTTCAGGTAAAAAAAAACTATATTGAAAAAATATATTTTTTAAGCTTTATTTTGAAATAGTTTTATTTTTCAAAAGGGGTAGGGACACGCCAATTTCCAAAATTCAAATAACCGAATTTTTGAACTTTCGTCACTTAAATTTAAATTTGAACTTTAGCCGTTCGAAGATTTTTTCCCAGTCTACTTTCATTTAATTTGTTTGAACATTTGAAAAAATATTAAACTAATTTCATTTTTCAGACATCGTCAGCGAGCTCTGAGCGAGTGTTCTGATCAGGAGGTGCAATTGTGACCTACCAAAGGACAAAGCTTGATGTTGAAAATGTCTACATGCTAGTTTACTGTAAGGAAAACTTGCCAAAGGTTAAAATCTCCGCAAAGTTTCACGAGGATGAAGCAGAGGAGGAACTTCTTCAGGACAAAACAACTGAAGTCTTGATAGAAGGTTCAGCCAAAATTCATTTTGGTAAGGGAGGAGGTAAAGGAAATAAAAAAAAGTTGGATGTTAGTCTTCAAAGTCAATCGAAGGCTGGGTCTACTTCAACCAGCCAATCAACAGTATATTCAAGCATAAGAGTTGGAACCTCTTCAAGAAACAGAGATGAAAATCCATCAACTATTAGCATACAATCCTTTGACAGTGATTGATTATATATAAAAATGTGGAAAATGTTCCTTTTTGTTCCTTTTATCAAATTAATTATATTGTTTGAAATCAGGAATAACGTTTTTAACTTGGGTAAACCGTCCAGTAACTGACGTTTTTTTGAACCTATTTACATGTTAAATATAATTCTTATTCGTTAAATATAATTCTCAATCGTTATTTTATAAATCTCAACGTTTTATCTTAAAAATAGGTTGCTTACTACTTACTAACGATTATTGCTTAGAGCGAATGACGACCGATTATAAATTGTGGGCAATTGCCCTTCAATTATATTTGCGCTTGTAAATACATTAAACATTAAAGAAATTTTTTCCAATATTTGAAACATTCTACATCAACCCTCGTTCAATATTTTTTTTTCTTTTTTTCTTTTTTTCAATCTTTGTTTTAGGTGTCCGAAAAAGACCTTACGGTCTTGTCGCAGAGTACCGCGAAATAGAATTAAAATATGAAGTTCACGCCTCCTTCCTTAACGATGGCATGTCCAGACGAGCTCTGGAATCCAAGTTTTCTGATCCATGAATCTCTTGCTTATAAAGAAAGCGCTCTAACCACTGCGCCACGGGCGCATATTTTTGTTTTAAATGTTTGTACATTCATCTCATCTTTTTCCATATTAATCTGAAAAAGGAAAAAATTTCAAACTTTTTATGAGTAAATCTTCAAATTCGGCGCACTTATACCTGTTTTTAAAATTGCTTTGCGCATATGCAAGTTCACACTTATGTCAGTTTTTGCAATTGATTCATATCTAAGCCAGTGTTTGCAAATTCCTTTGGCGCACTTATGCCAGTGATTGCAAGTATTCGCACTTATGTAGATTTGCCAGTTTGCAGTTACAACATTCGCCATTATGTATTTTCGCAGGTACAAAATTTGCACTTATTTAGTCGGTCTTTAGTCAGACCCCACCCCTACTTTTAATGAGTCATAAAATTCACCCTCACCATATACTGGGTAGTTAAACTAAATAAAAAAATTTTTTCGAGTATTCTTATACTAATTTGAAAAAATTTGAAAAAACCTAATTTGAATTAGACAAAATTTGAGTAACTCGAATTTACATTTGAATTTCGAATTCGACTAAAATTCGAATTTGACCACTTCGAATTTTTTTACACAACTTCGAATGAATTCGACCGAGCTTAGCGCTTAAGTGTCACTTAAAGATATACATATTTTTGTAAAAAAATTAGCTTGTAATTTTGCTTTTTAAGTTTCCCATAATTGGTACTTCCCCATGCAATAGGAAAGATAACTATGAATAAATAAAAAAAAATAAAATTTTTAAAGACTCAATAATAAGAAATGATTTAATTTTATATAACATTGAGATATTTTCGGAGATTGTTTTTTTCAATTGATTTAATATGATATTTTCAAGATATATTTTCATATATAATCACTCCCCTACTAGGTTTGTGGAATAAGATAAATTTAGTTTTCTCAATATTTAATGAAATTTTATTAATAGTAATCCAGTCATTTATTTTTAATAATTTTTTGTTTGATATTCTAAACAGATATTTTATATTACTATTTAAGGTGGTAGGACTAGAAAAAACCTAATTTTTTTAAAAACTATTATTTCCCAAGAACTTCAAAAAAAGTTTGAATTTATGTTAAAAATCATTTGACAATTTTTTTTTATTAATTTGCCTCGCCTACCCATACTTACATTAAAAAATAAACCAAAAAATAAGGAAATTTTAAAACACAATATCACAAAATATAACCAACAAATCACAATGAATTTTTGTAGGTTTGTTCTTCAACAATAGATAATTCATTTGAACTAGAATGACATTGAATCTTAGTAGAATAAAAAATATACATAATTTATTATGTAGGCGTTAAAAAAAAAAATACCAAATTGAGAATAAAAAACAAATAATAAGCAATAAATACATTTAATTATTATAAGATTTTAGTTCAAATGAACTTTATATGTATACTGAAGATACTGTGAAAATTTCAAGTAAATTGAATTCTTCTAACTTAAGATATTTGGTTTTAAAATTACAAAATTTTGCAAAAAATCAAAGTTCAATAAAATGCAAAATAAAGTTGCAATATGTTTAAAACCCTCCTGATACATAAAATGATGTTATATTTTGACTTTGTTTATCAGAGTATCTTTTTTTTATTGCTCTGAGACTTTTTCTTCTATTTTTTACTTTTTCACTCGACTTGATCTCCATGCTCTTTACACATGAAACATTTTGTTCATAAGATTTAGAATTTGTAACAACGCCTGATAATCCAAATGAAAGTAAAACATTTTTAACACCTTCAGTACCATCATTGTAGTGTAAAATTGCTAAATTAATACTAATTTCAAAAGTTTGTTTACAAACAAATATGTTTTTAGGGCAACGAGACCAAACCAATGCAAGACTATCATTTGCATTTTGGGTTTGCCCATGTACACATTTTAACAATAATTCTTCATTTGATAGATTTTTAGTCACTGGTTTCAAAAGGTTACTAATCCATAATGGTAAATTAATATGTTCTTTATAATTTGAAGTATTATGTAATTTTTCATATTGATATTGACACCAACTAGTTTCAGTTCTTGGGCAAAAGCAGTGGCGAAACTCTTGATTTGAATATCCAGTACAGTGGAACAAAATAGCCCATATTGCCATTTTCATGGCATAAATGTTATTTGTATTACTTCTTATAGCTAAACCATAAAAATTTTGCATACTATTAATCACATTTTCTGTCAGTTTATTCCATTCCTTTTTGTACAACAACACACTCTACTTTTCAGGAATTATTTTATAGTCTTTATACGGATCAGACTTTATTACTTCTTTAAAAGATGAGCTATCTCCATCTCCAAGATAATGAGTATAAATAATATTGTTATTTTTAATTGAACGTGGAAATATTTTTACAGCACCAGCTGCTTCCATTGACCCAGAAGATTGTTTATGATTTATATGACAGGCATGTTGAGCTTTCCAAGCATTGTATCGTAGTGAAGCTTTTTTATTTTTCCATATTCTGCAGCCCATGCAAAATTTTGACATTGCTTCATAATCAACGCACTTATCACCCACAATTGCACTTACAAATCCATTAAGGGAGGTATGGCCGCGTCGTTGCCATGCACCATCAATCTTCACATGCTTCATTATTGGTTTATTATCATCAGTATAGTTACCTTTCATTTCATTTGTGGCATGTTTCATACTTTCTTTAGCAGTTTTATTATAAGCTTTTGATATTTCTATATTTAGTTTTTTAAATGGAGTAGCTGTCAAACAGTGTAAATTCATGCAGCGACTAAAGTTTTTCATAGATTGATACCCTTTACCTATTTCTCTAAATCCAATTATCATTCTTGTGTTTGCTTCAAATGTTTTTCTACCCTGGGCTGTATTTTTATTAAATTTACTAATCTGCTTAGAAGAATACAAAACCTTTTTCCATTCACATAAACTACACTTGATTTCAAGGTGATGGGCAAAACCCATGCCCTTAGAAAGATTATCAACAATGGTAAGAAGGCTGTAACAATCTGGACATCTAACATCTTCCACGATATCACTTAAAATTGAAAAATTGATAAGTATGAAATAATTTTTATTCACTTTGTCATTTACAACTTGATTTCTATTTATCACTTGATATCTATTTAGCACTAATTTTCTTGCACTTGCACAAATCGAAGCTGGAACAATATTCAGATTGCTTTTCTGTTGTCTTTCTGCTGCAATTGTATAACGATTTCCATGAAAAAATCTTTTCTTTTTTCGTCTAAAGTTTTGCTTATTAGATACTTTAATGTTATTTCTTGAAGTACTCATTATTTATAATACTTGAGGTGAAATCTGAAAAGGTTTATAACATCAAAATTAAACAGCATGCACTAAAGTTGCTTCAAAAAACTGCCAAAATTTACAATGTTCCTTAAGTTAAAGACCTTTAACAATTGCACGTTTATCAGTGTATGATATAAATCTAGTTGTTCTTTAAGGAAAGGTATCAAGGTAAAAAAACTGTTTACCGTTGCTAAGGGCGTAACTAAGGACTGGTTGTTGTATGTAGTTACATAAAAGCTTTAAGAACTAAATGAGAAATTTTTTTTCAGTGCATGAAAGCTAAGTAATTTTCGTTCCAAAATAGAAAATAAAAAAAAACAAACGATTTTTTAAAAATTTTTACATACCTTTTCTAGCTCTTCCACTATAAAAAAAAATTCGAATCATCAGCAAATAAAAATTTGGATACTAAATATAAATCCTTTATATAGATTACGAATTTTAGTTGGCCTAAGATTGATCTCTCGAGGACACCACAAGTTATAATATGTTTTTCTGTTTCGTTTGCTGAATATATTATGTATTGTTTTCTGTTTAACAGGTAACTTTTAAATCATAGTAAGTTAGTGTTAAGTATTCCATACAGCTCTAGTTTTTTTATAAGGATATCATGGTCAACAGTGTCAAATTGCTTTTGATAAATCAATAAAATTTCCTAATATATAATAATCATTATTGACCTATTGGATATATAATTTACTAGCTCGACTAGCGCATGATTCGTTGAATGATTCTTTTTGAACCCAAATTGTTTGTTATACATTATATTGCTCTCAGTTAGATAACTATTAAGTCTATCATACATAATTCGTTCTAACAGTTTTGAGAAGCATGGTAAGACAGAAATAGGTCTATAATTTGACATATTCATCGCCAGATTTAAAAATAGACATGACCCTACCAATTTTTAATTTCTCCGGTACAACTCTAGATTTTAGTAACAGATTAAAAATGTAAAACAGTGACGGTTCAATAATATCAACATTCACGCTAATTTGATCTATGCCACCACATTTATTATATTTTAGACAGTTAAATTTCGCAACTCACTCAAATTAAACTTATGTTTAATTTGACTTCTTTCATAGATGTATTGATTGATTTCATATAAGATTCAAAGTTTGATGTGTTTTTTGGAATTTTATCAACAATGGACAAATACATTTTATATAGTTAATACATTTTATTCCATAAAAGGACTCTCGTATGGGGTGGTTTTCGCTTAAAAAGTTTAGCGTATTTTAGAGAGGATTAAAAGTGCAATCATTTCAGAGGATTTTTTTTTTTTTTTTTTTTTAGCATTCACTCCCAACAAGGC